CTGATGGATGTGTAGATGATTAGAGATGATTAGCTTAGACTTTCTCAGTCAACCAGCCTCACCTGAAAGATTAATACCTTGTCAACTAGCTTAAGATTTAAGATTTTTGTTTTTGAATCAGCAAAAGATGAATAATAAATAAATAAATAAAATTGCATTAAACAATAATATTAAATATTTTTAAATAATTAAGTAAACAACAATAATACTAACAAAATATTAATAGTTACGATCAAAACAATTAAACAACAACAAAACAACTACAACAATTATTTTTAAAAATAAATATTATTTAATACATTTTTATTTTGTATATATTTACTTGCTGATTTCAAAATATTTTTAACAAAAGAATATTTTTTCCTTTTAAATAATATACTAAATATTATTATATACTATAAAGGAAAAAATATTATTTTGTTAAAAATATACTACATTTTGAAATCAGCAATAAGTAAATATATACAAAATAAAAATGTATTAAATAATATATATTTTTAAATAATAATTAAGATAAACAAAATATTAACAATTAAATAATAGCAGACCAATTAACAAGGACAGCAACAATAACAAGAAGAAGAATTGTTATATAAAAGGAAAAAAGAAGAAGGTTTGTTTTTTATATTTCAGTACAAGCAGATCTATTATCACAGGGGCTTTCCTCTGTTTGCATGTAGCAGTATGTGAATGTTTTGCTTTCTCATCAGACATCACCTTTGGGAAAGTGAGCTGTGTGTTTGTGTGAGGAAGTGTGTCGCTTGGCTGTCACTCAGACTCTGGATTAACTGACAGCGGAGGTCTGCTGCATCATGGGAAGCTACTGTACAGGCTGTCTGCCTCAGTGGGTCGCTCAGCTCCCTTGAGAACCGAGCGATCGGCGGGGTTCTAGTGGGAGCTGCTGTAACTCAGCATTCTCAGGGCTCTCATTAAGGGAACCGCTCATGAATAGAGGAAAAAAGTAATATTGGATTTTTTTTGTGTGTTTTATCAATCGAAACTGTGTGTAAAGGGTTTCCGAATTGTATTAGCTTATTGCTGAAATCAAAGTTTAAAGGGTAGATGTTAATGGAAGAAAATGTGACTATTATTAACATATATCAAGTTAAAAGTCTGATATTGAAAATATCAGGGGAATATCAAAAAGCAATAAAATGTAAAAGCATGTTGGAGATAGTGCCGCATTGGTTGTTCTGCTGTAACATCAAAGATCTGGACACTAGAGAACCCCTCGGAGGCGTCCCACCGCTGCTGCATGGAAATATCCCCACTTCAAACTCAAGAGGCTTTTTGCAGTGTGTGCAAAGTGCAGGCTCAGAGGTTTGGCCAGGGAAATCAATGCTCAACTGGAATGTAATATCATTTCTGTGAAGGGTTAAAAAAACGTTGTGTTAATTGGATCTTGATTTGTTGTTTTGTGGGGCTGCCTACAGTTTAATCAAGTCTTGTAAATACAAATAAAAGTTCTTCCCACCCTCATGACCCAAGACTGCTACTTTTTTTTGTCAGCAAATGCACCATGGTAACAGTTAAAAATAGAACAGTACAATAAAAGCAGAACAGACCTGTTAAATAAAGGTAGAAGGTAGAGAGAACAACATTGTGTAGAAAGCCAGTAATTCATCTGCACTATGCAGCCCTTTCCTTCCAGTGCCAAATAGGAATGTAAATCACACTGACTCAACAGATTGTTTGTTTTGTTAAAACATGCATCGGTTTCTGTATTTGCATGAAATATAAGATTATTTTACATGTTTTAAAATATATTGGAAGCGAATCGCCTTTTAAGACCGTTCTAATTTTACTAGCTTTTTGTGAGTGTGCATGTTAAAATATAATCCTTTATGGGAACAGTCAGTGTTTATTAAATAATATATTATGACATTTAGTTCTTCGCACACATCTAAATTATAAATGAGAACAAACACAAGTTCAGCTTGATATTTGCTACCAAATATCTCTCTACATTCCGTCTTCACCTTCAAATATTTCTGCCTGTTAGACAATAGATATGAAAGTGTTTGAATAAGCCTAAAAATACAATTGTTCTCTAGATAGATGGACAGATGGATAGACAGACATGCAGATAGATAGATAGATAGATAGATAGAAAGACAGACATACAGATAGATAGATAGAAAGACAGACATACAGATAGATAGATAGATAGATAGACAATAGATATGAAAGTGTTTGAATAAGCCTAAAAATACAATTGTTTTCTAGATAGATGGACAGACAGATAGCTAGACGGACGGACAGACACAGACAGACAGATGGAAAGACAGACAGATAGATAGATAGATAGATAGACGGACGGACGGACAGACAGACACAGACAGACAGATAGATGGACAGATAGCTAGACGGACGGACAAACACAGACAGATAGACAGACAGATGGAAAGTCAGACAGATAGACAGAGACAGATAGACAGATGGATAGACAGAGAGACAGGCAGACGGATAGATAGAGAGACAGACAGACAGATGGAATAGATAGATAGATAGATGGACGGACGGACGGACGGACGGACGGACGGACAGACAGACAGACAGACAGACAGACAGATAGATAGATGGACAGATAGCTAGACGGACGGACAAACACAGACAGATAGACAGACAGATGGAAAGACAGACAGATAGACAGACAGACAGACATAGATAGATAGATGGATAGATAGATCAGTCAGTGGAGTTGTTGAAGTTCACACAGGTTGTGTTTACAGATATAAAGTCTGGTGTTGTTTTTGTTCAGGATGTCCTCTGATCAAACTAGTGGCATAGCAGCAGGATTTAATGAGTGGAAATGTTCTTTCACACTGCGGCTCTTGTTTTCTTTGGACGCTCAGACATGCTTACATAACATCTGCTCATGCTTGAAGTGCAGAGTCCTGATTGGCTCTTGATGACGGCAAGATTTACCATCAGCTTCCGACTGTATCAGCGACTGAGAGCGGGATCTGTGAGTGTGTGACACTTGTTTACGGTAGCATCGCTCTTTCCCACAAGGACCCGATCCAGCAGTTTCCCACAAAGGCCTGATCTAAAGGTCTTCAATTCAGAAACAAAAGAATTTTCTAAAAGTGCCAGTTTTACTAGACACTGATTAGGAAAACACCCTCAATCTTCTGAAGAATAAGAATATTGTTTGTTTATTTTGCTTATTTAAAGGTAAAGAACCGAGATGTAAAACTGTGTAGAAACATCACAAACAATGCTCAGGGACCTCTCATAAAAATTCTGCTGAAAAAAAATACAAAGGTAATAGCATAACAAGAACAATCCAAGCTTAACAAGCAAGACTTCTAGCAGTTTTCAAGAAATGTTAGCTTAAGTGGTGAAGACAGAGCAAAGTCAAGACGAACATACATTTATTACAGTTAGCCTGCACTGCTCCTCTGATAATTGGCTGACAAATCAAATGTGGTCAAATCTAGGCAAGAAAATAGATTTTCCAGTTTCTCAGTGTTCTTAAACCAGAACATTTCATCACAATGAAATGCATATATCTTGTTTGAATAAACCACATTTCTACACTGAAAAAGTGTAATGAATTGGATGTTTAGCTGGTGTTGAAAATCTTTCCAATCATACTTACAGTACCATTGCTAAACTAATAATACACTACAAGGAGATGCTACAGGCAACGTTTCAGTTCATGCCAGTGTCAAAAATAAAGCTTTTGCAATAAAAAAATGTTTTAAAGGTTTTATACACCTGATGATTTTTTTCCTCTCCGTCGTCTACTGTGGGTTGTCATATGCAGGTTATTTGTGACCCTGGCCAGATTTTCTAATAGTTGTATCTCGGCCAAATATTGTCCTATCCTAACAAACCATACATCAATGGAAAGCTTATTTATTCAGCTTTCAGATGATGTATAAATCTCAATTTTAAAAAATTAACCCTTATGGCTGGTTTTGTGGTCCAGGGTCACGTTTGTCTGGGCTTGATTATTATGGTATATTATCCACTAAGCATTGACACAAAGCCTACATGCATTTGACAGAACATTCATGGTCATTACTCCTTTAGTCCTCAAAGCATCACTTAATGGCAAATGTATGCTATTATTAAAAACATATGACAAAACATTGCTTGTGACAAAATAAATTGTAACTGAACAGTCTGCAAAGTCATAGCTTTTTCTCAAGCGGTGATAAAACACACTTATCTTTGGCCATTCCTCTGTTCACCAGCTTCCACAGTCATCAAGTGACATTTCATTTGGCTTTAAAGTATGTGAATTTAAAGGAAAAGTTCACCTAAAAGTCAAATTCTGTCATCATTTATTCACCATAATACCATAAGACTTTTGTGACTGAATCATAAACCGATTCTCTGAGAAAATCCAGATCAAAAGAATGATTTGTTGTGTTACACTGAAGAAATAGAATCATATACTATTATAGTTTTATTAATATTTTGAACCTGTTTGTATTTTTATATTTTCCATTTTAATTTGAATGTTTTAGCAATTGTATTGTTTTTTATGTAATTTTATGGTAACATTTTAGATTAAGGAACACTATTCACTATTAACTAGTTGCTTATTAGCATGCATATTACAAGCATATTGTCTGTTTATTATTAGTACTTATAAAGCACATATTAATGCCTTATTCTACATGACCATATTCTAGGTCCCTTAACCAATACCTAAACATAACCGCTACAAACAACTACCTTACTATCAATAAGCAGCAAATTAGGAGTTTATTGAGGGAAAACTCTTAGTTAATAGTGAATGTGTTCTCTAATCATTTTTTTAAATTCATTTTATTTCAGTTTTAGTTATTTAAATAAATGCAATTAAACTAAATTAAAGCGACATGCTGCCTTGTCAAATAGTTAAAATACATTTTTTAAAATATTTTATTTTATTTCAGTTAACATTATTTTTTTATTTAAGTGTTTTTAATGGTTTTATTTTTAGTTTCAATTTTAGTTCACTATAATAACCTTGGTTTGGAACAACATAATGGTGAGTTAATGATGCCAGAAAGTCATTTTTGGTTGTGCTATCACTTTAAGGCAAATTGAACTGCCATAAAATGTTACAAGATTTAAGCTAAAAATATATTTATACATTGCATTAACGCACAACTTTCTTTATTCAGCAGGCAACGAAAGATTAATGATTGTGTATTGGTCATATATCCAATCACGACCAATTCTATCAGAAAACTTGCATTTGCTTACAGAATCATGCCATCAGTGCACATCACATCTAAAATTATGCAATGAAACAAGCTGAGATGCTTCGACTCCAACACTGTTTCATATCTTTTCGGTCACAACTGCTTTTAAACAGAATGTGTATGTGGATTAAAAAAAAAATCCATGTGCTAATGCAAGATATAATCTAAATTGGTGAACCACCAATCACAGCTGTGTCAATATCATAAACGCTCAGCCATTCTTGCCTGATACCCTGTAATGGTTTTTGAACAGACGCTCTCACATGCTGGGTTTGGGATACGCATCCAAAAACCAATTAAGTTCGTCAGTGTTTGGACAAGATTGGTGGTTCATTCTCTAAAAAAACAATACATTTCTCAGTATCATTCAGTGTAGCAGCTTCTGGGAAGTCTATTCCTGGTGATTTTAAGGCACAAATATGATTCACTGGATAATAAACGCTGCTGTCGTGTTTTGCTCAAGAATACAGACTTTGTTATCCTACAAAACGTGATTCATTTGACTGGCACAAGGCATAAATGCACCCGCTCACTGATTCCAGCATACATCCAGGAAAGATATGAATGCTTCTGATAGAGCTTTGTGAACAAACATAGCTGTAGACACAAATGCATCTTCCTGTTTTCGCATGTGCAGAAGAAGCTTGAGCTTTATTTGAGATGTTCAATGATGGAGATCTCGCCGTGATCTGGGAAGTCCGGAGTTAGACCGTTTAGGTACAGGCTGCCATTTTTGGTCAATGTAGGGAGACCTTCTTTCTCAAGTTCATCCGTGAAGTTTGCAGACAGGGTCCTCTTGCACGGCATCATGTCCTGACCTGGATTTTGGCCTAACTCTGATGACAGCTTGCGCTTGATGTACGCTGCCCGCTGAAACTTGTCGTAAACTTCCACACTCAGGCGGCGGCGCGTCTCTTTGAACTCCGCTGACACGTTAGCCGTCCATTCTGCGGCGTGAGCGCGGAACTCTCCCACCTGGAACAGAAGGAATGTTCAGTGGGACCAAACGCAGTCGAGCGTAACGTGTTTAGAAGCATTTAAGAGGTGCAAATCAGAACTTCAAAAACCTGTTTTCTGTGAAAATGTTTCAGCTCGAGGGAACGAGAAGCATGTGGGCTGATTCGGCCTCAATGCTACTGGGAGTGTTTTAGAAAGAAATTCAGGGCTACTGCTATGAGACTGTACAGTTCATCCACCATGTGCAGACATGCTATGGATTTTTAGGACTCCCTCGTCCCAATACATAGCTATTAATGGACTTATCATGTGCAACTTAAGTGTGTCAGTTCCTTTTTAACTGTCTTTGGCTTTTACTAATGTTCACAAAATGCATATACAATAGTTTGGCATATTGTGTAAACTGTCATAATGTTTGCTTATTCTTTCCAAATTTTGTATCAATTGTAATGTATAGTATACTGTTTATATAGTTGTTTAGATAGATAGATAGATAGATGTGGAACTTAATTCATCAAAATAAATTAAAACTGTGATTTTATAAAGTATTATTACTGTTTAAAACATCTGTTTATTATTTTCTAGATATTGTAAACTAAATTTATTAGCTGTGATGGTTGAGGTTCCAGCCATTAGTCAAGCCGAGTCAAGACAATCTACAAGGAAACCTGTTATATAATCCTTAGGAAATCATTCTAATGTGCTCATTTAGTACTTATTATTATTATTATTATCATACATCAAAATGATTGTTCTGCCTAATAAAGTGGGGAAACAGCAGTACTGTATGTTTTTCAGTCACTGAAGTATTTAGTACATTTGCATTAGCAGGTCGCTGTACACTTTCAAGACAAGTTTTTGTTTTATAAATGGCCAAACGCAAACACATTTTGGAAGTGCTGAACTATGAGAATCGCTGAGATGAAACCAGCTGAATAAGTTCATAAACTAACTGCATAAGCTGCCAAGCTGCATTTTTTTTTTGTTTTTTTTTGCTGAACCGAGAGTTTGAATAAATACAGCATTTTTAAACCTAGAAATAGCCATTTTTAACATTCTATATGTCCTTTACAGTATTTTGGATCAATTTAAAGCATCCTAGATGAATAAAAGTGTTCATTCTTTTCAAAAACATCTGAGTGTTTTCAAACATTTAAATAGTAGTGAATATATGTTAAACACTCTTTGTTTGTACAGTGCAGTTCATAGTCTATCTGCAAATGCACCCCAATTTTAGGAGCAGTAAAGTTCATACCTACATACCAAACCTCTAAAATGTATAGAAATGATCTCTTTAATGTTCTCAGCTGTGTGCTTTTTCCTGATGCACTACTACCAGGAAGCCTCTTAAAATATATTATAACTACCACTATAATTTACTCAGGAAGAAATAGTTCACAATGAGCCATGATAATATCAAGACAACTTGCATGGATGGACTATGAAACAATGCCTCTCAAAGCAGTAGTTGTAATAGGAAAATAACGAATAAACAAGTAAAACTAATGAGAAAATCTCATAAATGTAAAAAAGGAATCTTTGGTTTCCTCTCTAATGAGGTCATTAGATGGTAAGTTGGCTCCCTACAGGACTCTTGAAAAGTTCTAATTTGAGAAGATTATTTCCTGATATTGGAGAAAATATGAGTATGTACTACACAGCACCTTTACAGCATTTAAGAGACCCTGAAAGTTTCGATACTCGATGGTATCGAGGCAATTCGGTCGGTGCCTAAAAAGTATCGAACTCGATACCCAGCCCTACTGAAAGGTGATGTATTATGGATGAGAATCAGGTAGCAGAACTGGGTCATTCAGACCTTTCATTCATGTAAATCCTGCACTCCACTTCCTTCTCCTCTATTTCTGGTGAGATGTGATAATGGACTTCGGTGTGAGACATTTTCAGGTTCAGATTTAGTATCCTGCTGCATAATACTGAGGCCTACAATCTCCTTTTTGTGAAAGACTTTCCTTGCATGTTCTTGTAAGGGACAAACCACAACTCCTAAACATAACGCTAATTATGTCATTTGTGATACTGGAATAGAAGGTCAGAAAATTGCACTTTTATGATCTCATCAGAAAAGCACAAGAGGTCCGGAGAAGATGTCTCATTATGTGTTTCAGACAGAGCAAAGCTTCTGTTCCAGCTAATCCAAGCACATAATTCTCCAGGCCGAAGCCCATTCACTTCATACACTGGGGTAAATGAAAGCTAAACACAGCGCTGAGCAGTGATTGGCTCCTGGCACCCTGGAACTTTACACTGTGAACTACATAGCAAACAAAGCCACAATAACACATAATGAACTCTCTGACATGACCTGGAACATTTTATACAGGCCTCATAAATCATATACAACGGTGTTGCCACATAAATTTGACAGAAATCCAAAATAACCAATAAAAGTCAAATGCTTTTATATTGTTTAGAAGTACAGCTCAATACATATTAAATTAACAGTACAGTATTTTATTGGGGTAACATCTTGGCAAAATGACATAATAAATTACTATAAATTACACTACTGTCACAGTACAGAAGGAGACCCAGTACAGAGAGATAAGGTTAACAGGGTTCTTTATTGAACAGGGGCTGAGGGAAGAGATGGAGAGCAAACGGGTTAAAGGCAACAGTCTATGGAACTGAAGGGATCTAGCTCACGTGGTGACGGGTTCCTTCCAGGATCGGGCTGAAGAGGATTGCACAGAGACAGGTAGGAACTTGATGGTGGTAAGGTGGAACTCGCACTTCTCCAGCTTGAGATAGAGGTGGTACTTTCTCAGCTGTTGTAGGACCTGCTCCACGTGGTGGCGATGTTCGGCCAGGTTCCGGGAGTAGATGAGAATGTCGTCGATGTAAACGATCACAAAATGATGGAGGAACTCCTGGAACACCTCGTTCATGAATCCCTGAAATATGGAAGGTGAGTTGGATAGGCCATACGGCATAACGCAGTATTCATAGTGTCCGGTGCAGACAGTACTCACTCCAGTGTATAACTTCGTTGGTGGTCCAGTTAATTATGGGTGCGTGTTGGATTAACCAGGGGCGTCCCAGGATGATCTCCGCTGTGGAATTCTCCAGCACCAGAAAAGAGATGAGTTCCTCATGAAGGCACCCAATGCGGAGAGTGATGGTGGGGGAGCATAGCTGGATCTTAACACAACCCAACGGCTTTCCTTGTATGGTGAGGATATTAAGGACATGGGAATGTTTCAGAGGTTGTAGTTGAAGTCGTTGGAGTGTGTTGCGGGATATGAAGTTCCCCGAGGAACCAGAGTCTACAAGGGCTTGCACTGAAAGGGATTGGTGAGATGGAGATGGTACGAATCCACTTGCATGGGTTCGGGTGCTGGAGCCGGTGAGGCGGATGTGCCCGGTGAGGAGTGTGGCTGGGCCTGGTTACAGGCCAGGAGATGTTGGGAGATCTTGATAGTCTTTTGGATGAAATTCTCCAAGCCCACGGTATCGTCAAAAATCACCATTTGGAGGCGAATGTCGGCGTTCAGCCCTTGCCGGAACGAGGTCAGTAAGGCCACCTCATTCCATCCACTAATCACCGCTAGAGTGTGGAATTTGATGGCATACTCGCTCACGGAGGCCCTGCCTTGACTGATGCGGAAGAGCTGGTCATGAACGGAGATTTCGGCGGAGGCGTGACTAAACACCTCCTTGAAGTGGGAGGTGAAAGTAGATAGAGTGCGAATGGCCTGACTGTTACTCTCCCACATGGACTGAGCCCAGTGAAGAGCGTGGACGGCGAGATGAGAGATCATGAAGGCAACCTTGGCGCGATCATTGGGAAAGGCGTATCTGTGGTTGTGGCTCCATGGAGAGTTTGGGGTGGTCTGGTCTTCTGTCACAGTACAGAAGGAGACCCAGTACAGAGAGATAAGGTTAATAGGGTTCTTTATTGAACAGGGGCTGAGGGAAGAGATGGAGAGCAAACGGGTTAAAGTGGTGATGGGTTCCTTCCAGGATCGGGCTGAAGAGGATTGCACAGAGACAGGTAGGTTTCAGGTCGGAGTCCGGGTTCGTGAGTCAGGTAAGGAGTAGCGTAGTGAACTCAAGACCAGACAAAGTGTAACTGCAGTGACTGAGTATTTGAGCTAGTGTTGATGAGGTGGTGACAGGTGCGGCTGATTAGTACTCCGGTGATTGTGAACGGGTGTGTGAGGTGATTGGGCCTGACGAGGCTAGACTATCCCTGACAACTACCAACATTTGAGTTAGTAAGAATTTATTTTAATTTATTGATTGATTGATTAAATGATTGATTGTCTCTTATGTTCACCAAGACTGCATTTATTAGATATTAATGTTGAAAACAGTTGTGCTGTTTAATATTTTTGTGGAAACTGATACCTTTTTTTCAGGATTCTTTGATGATTAGAACTTTCAAAAGTATTTATTAAAATCTTTGTCACTTTTGATCGATTTTTAATGCATCCTTGGTATATATAAAGTATTAAGTTAGTATATCATCTCAAAGTATAAAAGTATTTATAAAAGTATAAAATTATATTGTATAAATTATATTAATCACTGTTTTTTAAGATTTGATTATATTCAAAATATTCACTTTCATTTATCATGGAAAAACCCACTTCATTTCTTTTATAACCAAGTGATGTCTATATTGCTGAAATTGATACCATACCTGAAATAAATGGATTTTTGTTGGGTGATTTCTGAGGATAAAATGGGTAAATATATCATCAGTTTTAACATTTAATAGGCCTACATGTCAAATGATCAGATTTTTATGTTGTTCCTAACACAACCATTTGGTGATGCTGGTCAAATAAAACTCCCCTGTTGTGTGATTGTGTTGAATGTCTTTAAAGTGCAATCCAGTAAATTCCTTTTCCAATTTATATTGTAATTCAATATCCTGTGGCTCATGGCCAGTTCAATTCACACTCATGAATTGAGAGGGAGCCATTTCTGAAATTCAGATTTTTGCTCAACCGTGGAAGAGAAGTGCAGTTCTCGACCCGGCATTGCCTTAAAGCATATCAGCAAGCACATACCTCCTCTTTGGTCTTCTTGGAGATGACTCGAAGCCAGTCACCAATCATACTGAGAACTGCAGCGAAGTAGGCAAGACCCACCAGGATCCAGAACCACACGATGGGCTTATAATAGTCCAGATACTCAATCTCAGAGCCTCCTGAATGAGATAAATGAACCCACATCAAGCCACTGAACTTATCATGACTAAATTCGACTACTTCAGTTTGAGTTGCTTTTCTGGGCATTTATTTGCTTTCAAAAACAAACGCAAGACCTTGAAATGGAGACTGAAGGAGCAAAGTAGTGACTTCATTCACCTGCCACAAAGTCTCCAAATCCAATAGTGGTTAAAGTGATGACAACAAAGTATATGGACTCCAGAGTGCTCCAGCCTTCAATGTGTTGGAAGATGAGGGCTGGGAGGGCCACAAACAGCAGGCACCCAAACAGGATGAACAGGACCGTGGATGTCACACGGATTTTAGTTTGGCTCACGTTCCATTTCTGAGGAAAAACAGAGGAGAAGGCAGGTGAGAATGCTGGGTGGAAATACAATTAAGCTCATTATAGTCACGGTTGACAGACGTTCACAATACTCAACCAGACACCGTTTGAAAACATTCACTTTTATGCAACGTCTGACATCTAGTTTACATTGTCACACATGAGAAATAGAGAAAATAGAAGGACATTACTGTTCAAGAGTACGGGGTTGGTAAGATTTTATTGGTAACACTTTAGTATAAGGACCAATTCTCACTATTAACTAGTTGCCTATTAGCATGCCTATTATTAACACATTGGCTGTTTATTAGTATTTATAAAACACATATTCTGCATCCCTAATCTTACCCAATACTTAAACTTAACAACTATCTTACTAACTATTAATAAGCAGCAAATTAGGAGTTTATTGAGACAAAGGACATAGTTAATCGTCTGTTAATCGAAATAAATTAACAATAAAAAAAAAAGAAATTAGCATTTATTTAGCACAATATTTACGCATGTTCACACTTATATTAATCGGTCAAGCAGTCACAGTTATTGCACAATTGCCCCGAAAATTGCCAAATATGCTGGAGGATGAATATTCCACCTGGCTTAAGTATTACCCTATAACTAGTTTAAAAACCATATGAAATCAAAGTGAAAGTTTTATGGGCTTTAGTCATTGTGTGTTACCTTTGAGAAACCTTATATAGCAGCGTACTCCAAAACATTTTTAGCAGATATAAACATTTCAAATGTGCAAAAATAGGAACAGGACCAAAATACGGATCATAAAAATGGACAAAGAAAACTGATAACTCATGCTGCACTACACAGTTTGTCCAAACAAATGCTGCAACCAACTATTAGCATAAACGATCAATTATAACTAAAGAGCATAAAATGTGTAAATGTGTCAACACAGGACAGAAAGCTGCACTCAGTTTAGTAGAGTTTAAGAAATAAACACTTGCCCCGAAAAAAGATGGATTTTTCCTTTCAGCCTTCAAGAAATTGTTTACTATGTGTTATACAAAAGAATGAGTGCACCAGCAATAAATAATTCACTATGCTGCATTGACAAATACTGTATTGCGCTCTTCATTGCACACGTCAACGTTCCAAATTGTTCCTGCGCAAAAACACAACAGCTCAGCAGAGAATAAAAGTGTGTATGTGCAACGAGTGTAAACAAGATGGCCGCCAGAGGCACTTAAGTGATTACATTGAATCATCAAATGTGACAGTACCACAGAACAAGGTTAACAGTAGTCAGCAAGCCTTTCCGCAAAACAATCGTTATTTTAGAGTGGCATGAGACTTATTGAGTGAAGACAATATAATTTATTACTGATTAAAGGGATTTGGGGTGCACAGACTGTTTTCTAACTTAATAAAATATTAATATTGTTTTTAGAATAGATTTAGTAATCTGCCACAGTGGTAAATTTACATTACATTTTTTATAAATATTTCAAAGAACTGGTCTAATCTATTATTATTTTTTTAAAACTCAAAAAGCTATTTACACAGCTATTAACGTTAAAAATAACTGAAAATGTTTTTCATTTATTCCAAAAATTCTGATATTTTATTGAAACGTATGAAAATGTTGCACAAGGATTATAATTGTAGATTATAAAATGCATTAATGAAAAAAATCCTGTGAGCAAGACTAATTTAGCTAGTTTTTCTAAATGATTTTAGCTAAACTGAATGAAATACTCACCACAAACATCTTTTCCACTTTGGCAATTCCTTTACCAAATATGGTTCCCAGCTGATCGCCCACTCCAGCCAACAGGAACCCAAAGAGTGGGATCCCAAGCAGGGCATAGATAATGCAAAAGATCCTGCCTCCTTCTGTGTGTGGAGAGACGTTTCCAAAGCCTGAAACAGAAACAGAAGTCATTCTGTCAGGAAGACTCTAATCATCCCAGGCATAATGTGTGGGTATAATCTGCCAAAACAAATTGGTACTGTGCTTTCTGTTCTTTCAAAAGCTTGTAAAATATTTTGTTGAGTCAAACAGATAATTCAGCACATTTTATGCCAAATAGCAAAAAATGTTTAAATCATACTCCCCTAGTGCATTAAAAATCTTTATTTAATTTAGTGTGCATTAGGGCTGTATTATCCTGCCTACAAGGAGAATCTCCCAGTGAAGACTATTCAACACCTAAATTTAGCTATAGCACAAGAGCAAAGCAGATAAAAGCATTACAGGAATGTAAATGTGATGAATGGAACATAATTGGGATGAATTTCAGCTGAGCAAATGCATTCATTTTAAAATGTATTCAGGCCTCATGAAAGCAGGGGGAATAAGTGCATTATACAGACTGGGTAACAGTAAGGTGAGGTAAATTATACCTGCCATCAGGTTCACCCATGAAATTGGCTTTTTTTTCTTGATTTAAACTCTCAAATTGTAGGAAGTTTTATATTAATCAGTTCAATGGCAAAGATTCAATCTTTGGGTTAAGTTTGAGTTAAGCTCAAACAACAGCACTTGTGGCAATTTTACAACTTTGTTGCCATGAAACCTAATGCTGCAAACCCTAAAACACAATGAAAAAGATGAGAACATATTTACACTACAACTTTACAAATACACAAGTTTTAGCTTTTTTTTTTAATTATGACATTCACATTTGTGACCCTGGACCACAAAACCAGTCTTAAGTGTCAATTTTTTCGAAATTGAGATTTATACATAATCTGAAAGCTGAATAAATAAGCTTTCCATTGATGTATGGTTTGTTAGGATAGGACAATATTTGGCCGAGATACAACTATTTGAAAATCTGGAATCTGAGGGTGCAAAAAAAATCAAAATATTGAGAAAATTGCCTTTAAAGTTGTCCAAATGAAGTTCTTAGCAATGCATATTACCAATCAAAAATTAAGTTTTAATATATTTACAGTAGGAAATTTACAAAATATCTTCATGGAACATGATCTTTACTTAATATCCTAATGATTTTTGGCATAAAAGAAAAATTGATAATTTTGACCCATACAATGTATTTTTGGCTATTGTTACAAATATACCCCAGCGACTTAAGACTGGTTTTGTGGTCCAGGGTCACATTTATGCTTTTAAATCCTTCAAAAATTGCCTCCATTTACTTCCATTGTAACTGCCCAGCGACTTAAGACTGGTTTTGTGGTCCAGGGTCACATTTATTCTTTTAAATCCTTCAAAAATTGCCTCCATTTACTTCCATTGTAACTGCATCACTGAAACCTTGTTTTTGGCTTCTTTTAAATGAAAATGAGAGAGAAAGAGTGAAAATTATTTTTTGTCTTAATCAACAATGTTCCACAGCTTCTGTGGATTTAGATTAATTTGTACAAAAAATATTCCTTTAAAACTGTGAGACTACAAGCTGCTAGTGCTGGTTGAAAAAAAAAAAACATTTTTAGGAAACTATGATTGGGACTCTTTAGAAATACTTATAGCTGAATTAAACTTGTTTCAATTTGATGAACTTCACACTGTTATTGATCTGAACTGAACCAAAACTGAACTGACTTGAGTAAAAGAATGACCCTATTGTCTTTTAGAGTAGTTTTATAGCAGAATCTGGTCTGTCTCCATAGTTGAGTTTCCATAACTGATCGCACTTGTATAAAGTGCTATAGAAATAAAGGTGACTTGATGGTTTTGCAAGAAAGTTTTACAATGGGAGAGTCAGAGACCATGAGAATACCAGTAGTTGTGGTTGTACCACAGCAGGAATTTAAGCAATTACAAGAGCAAAAAGCTAAGCCACTGGACAGAACCACCCTGAGTGAAGGCCAGCAGTGGGGGTCTACATTTTCCTTGAAGCTCATTAACTGGGCTCAATCACTCCTCATGCAATCTGTCCTCTTTGAAATCTAATGAAATCAAAAAACCTTGAAAGAGCCATAAAAATTGGCTCTGTGAGACAACCTTAATTACACATGGCACAATGGAGACGAATAACTGTAATGTCTTTACACATAGTCTTTTGGAAAAATTATCCACATGTTCATGGCTGGATAAAAATATCTTACTTGTTCCGGCAGATTAACTATAAGGATGTAAATTTCTCAGCAGTAAAAATTTATAACGTGTGTTAATGTCTTCAGTATTTCTATTTTCTCCTGATACAAACAATACTGTGAGCAAACTCATCATTATTCAGATCAAATCTAATTTCCTGACCTTAAATAGAAGCAAACAACATGTAATAATTGATAATACGTCAGAGACCCTAGATAAGAACCCAAAGTGGCGGCCGGTGGGACAAATCTGGCCTGCAAATAATTTTTTGCAGCACTCCAATTGATTTAAATGAAATAGCTGCTCTGCCTGATTAAAGTTTTCCAAAAATAAACCAGCAGTGATTGTGTCATATCTAATATTTTTATGCCTATGTGTCTTGCACAGTAAGAGAAATTGATGATTAAAACCTAACCTTCAAAGAAAAATGGACTATGCTCTTAATCTCCCTGCTTAACCGATGTGTTTCATTTATTAAGTCTGTTGTGCTCGTAAAAGCTAACCACTGAAGCTGCATACAAGCAAACAGTGTTATATATATATTTTTTTATATTTTACTTAATATATTTCACTTTTTTTCTGTGATGGCAAAGCTGATTTTCCCCCCTACAGAATCATTGTAATATGTTGATTTAGTGCTCAATAAACATTTCTACATCTTCATGTTAACTGAAAATGTGCTAAATGTGGAAAGAGTTGAAGTGTTTCTTTTTCAAGATTCTTTAGAAAGTTCAGAATAACAGGATTTATTTAAAATAGAACGCCTCTGTAATATTCTAATGTAATTGTATTGCATTTAATGCATTCTTATTGAAAAAAGCATTTGAAAATGTAATAAAAATTATTATTATTTTTTTTGCCAACCACACTTCTGAATAGTAGTGTACATGTGTCTTTATGTCTTGAAAACTCAAATATATTTATATAATTTATTGAACCTAACATGATTTTTTTTTTCTTTTGGAAATGTGAAAAATTATTGCTAAAAGAGAGAGAGAGATGGAAAATCAAGTACAAATCTGAACTACTGGTTTCAATAACCCTGAAGAAATAAAAGCCTTTGTTAAGCCCTTAAAGGAATAGTACTACAGATACAAATATTTTCTCCTTTTCAATAAATGTATTTCTTATGCAAAAGGACAGATATAAAGTAGATTTGTACTATGATAGCTTATACTGTCAAAGGTGCAGTGTTCAGCAGATCCTCCAGTTCTTCCTTGGTTACCCAAATTTGTAAACAATTGCCTTTAAAAATCTAACACTTAAAAACCTAATAATGATAATATTTTTCAAAAATATATTTGTTAACTGAGGTTGTGAAGTCATATTTGTTCTCCAGCCAGTCCTCTTGAAAGAATTTATGGACCATAATTTTTTTTACTTGACTGTCTCTTACTACTTTAATAATTTCAGCCTTTTTTGAATAATAATAATAATAATGATAATAACAAATAAAATAAAAGTACATTAAGGTACAAAAATAAAGTCCTCAAAAAGTAAAGTACTCAGAAAAAAAGTAGTTAAGAATCCCTAACCTAAACCAACCAGCAACTCATTCACGAATCATAACACTAAATGACAGAAATTATGAGTTAAAAAAGCAGAATAATATCAGCCTTCAGCAATAAACTGCCAGATATCTCAGTCCGTCATGTGCTGACTTTGAGCACAAAACAAGTCAGTTTGACACAAGGAGCAAAAATATGTCATGCCACACTCATTAGTGAAGCAGCACTACTTACTGGATGACTGACGCAAACCTGATGTAACAGCAGTGTCTGAATGAGCTTAATGAGCACATAAGTGTGTCTTGTGAGGGCTGCGACACTGGCAAATGCTCGGCACTCATGTGCTGATGCCGGAGTATTACTGAATGCGATGCCCTCACCAACAGATGACCACATAAGGACACTGCAAAGTGTGTGTGTGCTTGTGTGAGTGCGTGCCTATGCTGATTGGGGTGGACAGGGGGAGTTGACAGGTCTTCATTCAAATGACAATAAATGCCATTTTGCCATCATGTAGGTGACAAAAAGAAGGATTATTTGGTGAATAAATTAACAGTTAAAGCTTTGAAGGCCAAGCCTGTGAATGACTTCCCTGGGTGACACAAACACAAATAAAAGATGATGGATGGTGTTGATTCGTGCAAAATAAATAATAAAAACAACATTAACAAAATAAAATAACTCTGTTTTAACAGCCACCATTACTCCAGTCTTGAGTGTCACATGATTCTTCAGAAATCCTTCTAATATGCTGATTTGACGTGCAAGAAATTTTTCTTATTATTATCAAAGTTGAAAACAGTTGTGCATCTTAATATCTTGTGAAAACCGTGACATTTGTTGTTCAAGGTTCTTTGATGAATAGAAAGTTCAAAAGACAATAGAAATCTTCTGCAACAATATAAGACTTTACTGTCGCTTGTGATCAATTAATTGCATCCTTGCTGAATAAAAGTATTAATTTCTTTAAACAAAAAAATCTTAGTGACTTCAGACTTTTGAACATTTATACACAAAAGATCTGATGTGATGGGAGGCAGCTCCAAGACCTTGGCCTCTTTCATCGGCGTATAAAAGGTCAAGCTATCAGATCCGCTCGGTTCATTAATTGCACTTCATACTTCACAACCTAAGAGGGACACTGAGGGGATTGATGAAGGGGGGCTAGCTCTTTAATCCACCACTTGGCTCGGTTCCAGCAGGTTTCAAAGGTGTCGTAACACATGTATTCAAGAACGGTCAAAGATGTCCAACGGATTAGTTAAGGTTCATTAATTAAGCTTATTAAATAATGTTAACACAATTTCCTACACATCCTTAGTGATGAAGTCAAAGTGAAAAATGCTGCTGCTGATTATTTACTGAGAAATGAATCTATAATAGGTTGCGTGTGTAGACAAATAACCCAACATGACCATAAATTAGTCAGCGCTACACTATTATAACAAACATTATTTCTTTGTTGATAATTACCCTTGATATTTTAACTGCAATTATTACAATTGATAGAATTTATATTAAAATGTAAACAACCCATTTTAGCTGTTAAAGCAGTTCACCCAAAATTATTATTATTCTTTCGTGTTCTGCTGAAGAAATAGTCATATGGGTCAGAAATCTTTTTTTTTTTGAAAGAAAGAAATTATGTTTTTTTTAGTCAGAATGCATTAAATTAATAGAAAATAACAGTAAAGGCATTTAGAATGTTACAAAAGATTTCTATTTCAAAATAAATGCTGTTCTTTTGAACTTTTATTCATCAAAGAAACATTGATAATCATCAGAAATGTTTTTGACCACCAAATCAGTACATTAAAGTGATTTCTGAAGGATCATGTGACACTGAAGACTGAAAATTAAACTTTGCCATCACAGGAATAAATTACATCTTAAAATATATTAAAATAGAAAAAAACCCTGTTAATTAAAATTTTAAGATTATTTCACAACATTACTGTTTTTATTGAATTTTTGACCAAATAAATGCTTTAGTGAGCATAAGAGGCTTCTTTCTAAAACAAGCTGACTGACATTCCTAAATAGAATGCTGTAATTTACACATTTCACGATTAATTATTGCAGCAACTATAATTGAAAATATTTATAAAGATATTTTTTTATTCATGAGTCCAGCTGTTACTCACCTATAGTGGTGATGACAGTCCCTGCAAAGAAGAAGGAGCTGCTGAGGTCCCACATGCTGCTCTCATTGGAGGGGTGACCCGAGGGATTGACCCCGGCCCGGATAGCAAACACCACTTGCTGTGGATGAGAAAACAGGTCAAGAATAATCTCCAAAAATTAGAACTAAGCAACAGATCACCCAAAAATAAAAAGTCATCATTTACTCCCTTACCCTGTTATACCGACTCTGTATTTTCTTTCTTTGTGAAACACAAAAGGAGACGTTCTGCTTAGTATCTCCTCTAATCATGTTTCACAAAAGAAAGAAAATATTGCAGGGTCAGATTGACATGAAGGTGAGCAAATAATGACAAATGCTCGGCAGGTAAAGTATTACATGAATACAAGACATGTTTATTTAGAAAGTGACAGCAATATTTTCCATTTACCAAGGCTGAATCATATTCAACAATGCTATTTCCAGTACAAGCCCAGTTGTGATTGTGTGTAACATGTTTAGATCTACAGCAGACTGTGTGTCTCTGAATGAACAGGATGACTGGCTCCAACTGCCTACATTCAGAGCCTCAAACAAAGACATGGATCTGTTCTTTATCAGTCTTCCACAGCATCTCTGGATTTTACATCACACATTACCGAGTCAGCTGGGAGTTAAGACAAAATTTGATCTGTAATTTCATTCACTGTCAAATCCGTTATAGTAAACGGCTGCCTTATCGAATGTGTGCGCCTGTGTTTGTGCAGCAGGGATAATATTATACCTCTTGTAGTTCTTGTGTTTCAGACTGTGCCTTTTTTTTTAAAGAAAGGATGGTGGTGTAATTGAGATTGATATTCCTCCTTCTCTGATCATTGTGTTTCCTGAAGACTTAAAAGTGACTTAGTAGTAGCTGGGATTGATTCCAAACTTAGGGAATGCATGGCTAATTAAAGAGTTTTGTTTTAAAAAAAAAAAGTAATTTTACCACTAGGTAAATTAAAACTTTAAAAACTCAAATTACTCAAAAAGTTAGTGGAAGATCAAAGCTTTGCTGTAGGTGTTCTGTACTCATTTCATAAGTATGCATATTTTAGAAACTAAACTAAGTGAAGGACAAAAAGTGGAGCTGTCCATGGTCCTTAAAGGGGTCATTTGATGCGATGTAAACCAAATACACAAAATAATGTTCTTTTCAGCAACATCATATGACCCCCTTAACTCACAGCTCACTCACTATATCTCTTTCAATTATTATACATGACTTGGGGTTGTACAGTACATGTACATGAGGCAAGAATGTATTATAGTCATCTCGTCACTATTGCGAGATATAATGTCCAAATAACAGAAAATGATACTGCAAAATGTAAAAAAAAGTTGCAATTACAATATGCATGTTGAAATAATGGAAAATTTAAAAAAATTAAGTTGCAATTACAATAAAATTAATGTTCAAATAATGGTAAATTGCATGACATGCAATGGTAAATTTGCAACAATAAGATGTAATGTCCAAATAATTAAAAATAAAATGCACTGCTAAGATTAAAAATAAAGTTGCAGTTATGGAATGTAACCAAATTATGGAACATTGAAAAGGATTTGAACATTTCATTGCAAAATTAAAAAAATAAAGTTGCAATTATGATACCTAATGTCCAGATAATTGAAAAACTGCACCGCAAAGATAATGCATAGAAAAAGTTGAAATTATGAGATAATGTCCAAATCATGTAAAACTGAAAACTGAAAAATAAAGTTGCAATTACAAAATGTAATGCCCAGATAACAAAAAAAAAAAAAAAATTGCACTGCAAAGATTGAAAATAAAGTTGTAATAAGGAGATTTTAAAATAATGGTAAACTGCATTGCAAAACTGAAAAATAAAGTTGCAATTATGAAATGTAATATTGTCCAGATAACAAAAATGGCACTGCAAACATTAAAAATTAAATTGCAATTAATATCCAAACAACAAATTGCATTGCAAAAATAAAGTTATAAAGTTGGAAGTTATAAAGTTGCTATTAAATAATTCAAATTAAAATGTCTAATCCATTAAAAACAGTCAACAATGTACCACTAGTATACAACATCAACATTGCAATAAGGTCCCTAGTGAAAAATAAATATACTTAAATGTATTCGAAGTACATTTATTTCAAGCTAAGTGTACTACAAATACATTTACATAATTATGTATTTAATAAAATACCCTGCAATTGTACTTTTGTTATACTAAACTGGTATACTTAAAATCTGACAAATTGAAACAACTAATTTTGTGCTTAATGCACTTTAATTGTGCAGATGTAGTGCTGAAGTCCAACTAAAGATATCCTGACGTATATTTGATTGTGCTAAAGTGGACCTATTGCAAGTATACTTCATGTACACTTTAAATATATTGCATTTAAAGGGATAGTTCACCCAAAAATGAAAATTTGATGTTTATTTGCTTACCCCCGGGGCATCCCAGATGTAGGTGACTTTGTTTCTTCAGTAGAACACAAACGAAGATTTTTTAAGTCAAACCGTTGCAGTCTGTCAGTCTTATAATGCGAGTGGATGGAAATCACGGCTTTGAGAGTAAAAAAACATACACAAACAAAACCAAATTAAACCCTGCGGCTCGTGACGATACATTGATGTGTAAAGACACGAAACGATCGGTCTGTGCAAGAAACTGAACAGTATTTATATAGTTTTTTACCTCTGATTTTCACCGCAATGTCCGAACTGTCCTGAGCGCATCCAACAGCCGGCGCCTGACGAGTCTTCTTCTTTTTCTTGCTTTACGGCGGATCACAGACTTATAAGTGCATTACCACCACCTATCTCTCAAATGGACCATTGACACTCTATCTACAATCTCAATTAGAAGTCAGTGGTCAATGCCAAAGATCATACAATCCTCATCAATAGTGACATTAAAACACATTTTAGGCTTAATATTAAGAAATGTGCATTGCGCACAAGTAGTACTCCAAATAAAGTTTAATTATAATAAATTATATAAGTAAGTCTCGAGTGATATGTCAGTAAAGATATTAATAGATTTGAACTATACATAGTATGAAATAAATGTATTTTAAATATATTACTTTTTACTAGGGGTGATTATATAAGCACTAACAGTGCTGAAGCACTAACAGGCCAAAAAAGGAAATATTTCTCATTTCTTTATTTATGTCACATTAGGTTACTGCAACACATTCAAGCCCTTTCAGTAACTATATCTATTTTAATTCTGTAGTGGGTATATCAGGTGTTGGCCATACTGACCTAGTCCATATTCCAGCCATATTCTCACTAGCCTAGAAATCTGTAGCCCAAAAAAATAAAAATAAAAAACTCGGTACACATTCACTAAGCAGTGAATGAGAAATGTAAACACTGTCAAAAACATCTGCACATGAGTGTGCAGGTTCTCCTGGCCTACATGCTGTATAGCAGATATGATGTAAGAGCCCTGAGTGTATCCCATCTGCTCCCAGCTGGCTGCACGAGAGCTCAGCCAAAAGTGAGAGGCAAAGAGAGGCCATTCATTCCGTGGGGAGGTTTTCCTGTTTGTGAACACCTTCCAAGTGTCAGCACAATCACCACTGGACTTGGGCTGCTGGCAGCAAAGCAACTTGGCAGGAATGAACATTTGTTCAGAGGTGTGTGAACGTGAGCGTCGTAACACCAATAATCAAGAGATGGGAAGTAGGTGAATGCAGTGTGTTGGGATGTATTTAATGTAAGGGCAAGGGGGAGGGGTTGGAAAATGTATAATTATGGACTGTCCGAGAACAGCAGGAATAGGATAGGATGTTACTTTAACACGTCACAACACACTACAACTGCACTAGAAGTACGCAAATCGTATAAAGAAATATTCTTTAAATATAACATCAAACTAGCTGTTTCCATCCAAGTTGCAAATGAAATTTGAACTTATTACTTATTATTAAAATTATTTATTTACAGTACATGTCACAAAAAACATATTATGAATAAAGCAGCACTTCCATCCTAAGTGCTTATGATTTAATTCACATTTAAGACATTTGATTGATTCACATTCTGGTGTTTTTGTCCATGTCGATGGAAACCAAGCTCACACAATCATCCAAGACCTTTAAATTGCAGCTAGACTAATTTAGTACATTTTGCAGCAGACAATAAACTCTGCACTTATAAAATGTCACTTTATATTCAATCTACTTCTTGCACAAAGGTAAATACCAAAGACCTCAGAAGACGGAGCTAATTAGTGATGTAATGTCAAGAGCATATTTCATTTCCCCACAGGTGAACTAGTGTTAAGTGAACTCACTAAAACTGATTTAAAAGAAAATTATAACAGACCCGACTGCCAGCAACCCCAATTTGGAGAGCAGATAAAGTGTATACAGTTATAAGCCTATGAATACTACATTAATACAGATCAAATTAGTCTGAAATGTTTATGATTTCGGCATAACAATCTTAGAATTTTGAAGAAAAAAGAAAAAACGGCATCATACTTCAGAAACAGAACAACATGCACAGAACAATTTATGTCCAATTAGTGTTTGCTGGCTCCAATTAATCAGATTACAGACCGTTTCTGCCAACTTCCCGAGCTGTCATTATTGATTTTGGCAAAGATTAGTCTATTCACCCAACATCCTGCAGACAAAACCACTATATGCTTTGAATCAATATCCAGAAGGCTATTTTTACCTATACAAACAGATACTTTGAATTCTAATTTCAAGCACACAGGTAAATAATTGGAGTTTGTACCTTGACCAGGTCCTCCAGTTCAGAGACGTTGACACAGGTATGCCTCGAAAGGAAGTTAATTTTCTCTTGCACGATGAGGTACTTCTGCGAGCTCTCCTGGGGCTGTTCCAGGGCTTTGAACACCATGGCTCCGATGATCAGGTACAGAACAACCAGCAGGAAGATCGCCACTACTGTTTTCCACTTCATTACAGTGGTTATGGTATCACAATCATCCCCCGTGTTATATACAATGGGCTTGGAGGAGAACGACAGCCGTGGTTTGGTGTTGTGTGTGACTGATTTAGGATCTAAAAGATCAGGTGCAGCCACTGGGGTGAACAAAAGGAGAGAGAGGGCAAGACAGAGCGAGAAAAGAGAGAGAGAGAGAGAGAGAGAGAGAGGGAGAGAGAGAGATGGGTTATAAAAGACAGCTGTAATTTTAAAGAAATGACTGCTGATGAATTTTTAGTAATTCTATAACTATTTGTATTTCAATTTAAAGAGTTCTGCTTTGTTTATAGATATTTATAATATCATTTTTCCATGTGGTTTTGTACATGAACGAAAACACATTCATGTTTTTTACATGGAGACATTAATAAATAATAGCAGCTATGAAAAGCCCAGACAGCTGCAGGGTTTTAAAACAATGATGAATATGATTTAGATTATGGACTTAGATTTAGCTTGTTATTATTCTGAATCATTGAGTATTTGGAATTTGTACACTGGGAACATTGTGTTTATGATATATGTTCAAACATTCGACTGATTATTTCTAATCACAAGCATTTACAATTGACTTTAGGCTGGATTTTTATACAAGAACCTCATATAAGAAGTGAACCTGGCCTTTCATCTGTGAGGATTTTAATTTGTTTCTTTCACTACTGACTTCTGCAGTGTTTCAGCCAAGTGTGAAAAGCCTCTCTAGCAAGCCAGTGATGGTGGACGTAATGTTCTCCTCGCTAGTATCCAGTACGCAGTGTGTGGAAGTATGTTATGCAAGGCAACACAAGTTTTAGCACTAATTTAGAGCTGCAGATTTTCCCTCTTTGCATAATTCAGACCTCAATGCTTATTAATGATCTGTTAATTATTGAAGCCCCAGGGGGCTCCAGCAGAGCATGTCCACTTTTTCATTCTTTTCCAGAGGATATCAAAAAAAAATTTTAACCCATGCAGATCCATTTAAATCACTTCTCTTTGGTGTTTGTTTTTAAATGTTTTTGTTCCCATTTTATAACAGAATTGCCAAGCGTATATCTTAAAACAATATGCATAATATTTTGTTTTACATTGAATCTGAAAGGTGATATTTGTAATTGTAAGACAATCCTTTATATTGCATTAAAGATTTTATTTATTATTTTTGATGGGTCCCGGTGCAAGCAGAAGAGGCTGTACTGTACTGCAAAACTGATAGATGTGATTCCAGCAATATTCCTCCTACAAATCTGGAAACATGTCAAAGTGGTGTGGGTGGTGTGGCGCTGTGATACATAATCTAAGCTGGTCACTGAAAGGTTACAGGTTCAGACCCTGCAGAATGCAATCTAATAGCCATCACCATTGCAGCAAGTGTATTGCAACATCTGCTTTCAAAGATACTGAATTCCAGCTATTACTTTATTAATATTTATCATTTTATTACTTTGTTTTAGAAAACACCTTGATTTTAGAATTTGCATTAACTTTGTCTTGAACAAATATCTATAATTAACAAGATATTGTACTGTTCAGAATATATGCCAAACGATATGGAGAAAGAACTATTTAAAAATAACTAATTCTGTTGATAGGTTACCAATTATGTTCACATTTCTAGTAGAATTAAAGCATGATCATATTTCGATGTCCCGCAAAAATAATTCAGGCCTAAATGGGTTAAGTATCATGCCAAATTTACTATGCAACACATGATAAACAATTCAACTATGCAATCAAACATTGCGCACTTACTACTTTGTCAGATCTCTTCTTCCTGCTGCTCCTCATCAGCTGTCTTGAGTGCTAGACCACTTGACTTCTTGTCTTTTCGTTCTTCTCAGGAGCACACAAGCAGAAACTGGATGTTAATCATGGCACCAAACGCACTCGCATCCCTCCGTCTTCTCGTCTGGACGATCATGCATGCCTCTGTCCAGTTTTAAATCTCCACGCGAGCAGTATCTTGGAATCCAGCGCTGGATTTCGTGTTTGAGTAAGCACTGAAGTGAGAAGAGATGGCCACTGAAGGCACACGGATAATTGGACTGGCTGTTCTTCTCATCATGAGCGTGCTCACTGTCCGTCTCCACGCTCACAGGCGCTCGCGCTCTCCGTGTGTTGTGTTCACGGACTGTGGGCAGGTTTCACGGTTTCATGCGCGTCACTCCATTGCCGCAGGTCACATCTCATGTCAGTCAGAAATATGGGAATTAGGAATCGCGAGGAAATGAACTATTCTGGTTCCGATTCTTCCGAAAGACTCCAGTACTTTTGAGGTTTGAAAAAGACCCTCAGATTGTTGCGAAGTTCAATTCAGATCTCAACAAAGCAGATAAAACCAACAAACAAACAACTAGTCGACACTTACAAATCAGTCTTCGGCTAACATGACACAGCAACAGTTGGTTCGTTTTGAGGCAGAAATGACGAAACTAAACTTGTGGTTAAGTAGCCTAAGTGTCTGATTAGCCTATTTCAGAAATTGGTGTTTTGAGAATCGGACTACACTACGAAAATTAATCATGGTTTTACTACAAAAAACAAAACAAAAAAAACATGGTTACTAGTTAAACCATGGTAACTAACCACAAATTAACCATGGTTTTGCAACACTAACCATAGTTTAACCATGGCATTTGCAGTAAAACTGTTGTTATAAAAATGGTAGTCAGTAGGCTACGCCAAAGAAAAAAACCATGGCTTTTACAGTTTTACTGTAATAAAACCATGGTTAATTTTCGTAAGGGTTTCCGCGATGTATTTCTGATTTAAAAGAATCAGCACACATAAGAGTCATTTGTCCTGCAATCAGACTGCATTGGTCGTGCTGTAGGCCTATTTTTTGATTCATTAAAAAGAACCGGCTCATAAGAGTCATTTGTTAGGGAATCGGACTGCACTAGTCACACAACGTGCCCCTGCAATGTCCAAATACCTGGGCTGCGTTCAGCCCCGACAAAAACGGTGCAAAACGTTTTTTTTAAACGGAAACGGTGGTGCGTTGAACACCCTGTTCTGATGACGCAAGAGTTGCAACTATGGCAGCTGAGAAGGCCATTCTTTGTGTTCTTTTTGAAGAATTTTCGGAGCCTGATGAAAAATACGCTCGATGGTACAGTCACTGCCCTTGCCCTCCAGAAT